CTAACTTCATTTTGACGAGAATTTTTTTTAATTTTCATGAAAAATTTGCTGAAATGAGTGAAAATTAAAAAAAACGGTGTATTTTCCAGGATAAAAATCCGTACAATCCGTACAATTTGAAAACAAATCCGTACAATCCGTACAATTTTAGGGTTAAAAAAAATCAATCCGTACAATCCGTACTATCCGTACATTTTGGCCACCCTGATAGTGCTTACCATAACATTTCTACAGGATATCTTGGATATATCTAGATGATTATAGTTCTTACCATAACATTTCTTCAGGATATCTTGGATATATCTACATGGTAATAGTGCTTACCATAACATTTCTACAGGATATCTTGGATATATCTACATGATAATAATGCTTACCATAACATTTCTACTGGATATCTTGGATATATCTAGATGATAATAGTGCTTACCATAACATTTCTACAGGATATCTTGGATATATCTACATGATAATAATGCTTACCATAACATTTCTACTGGATATCTTGGATATATCTAGATGATAATAGTGCTTACCATAACATTTCTACAGGATATCTTGGATATATCTAGATGATCTGCCCCACACAGTGAGCACACGTCGGGGTCACACTCACGGACAGCCAGGAAACACGGACACTGTTTGGTTGTACACTGCGCCTTACATCTAGATATGTAATATTTAAAGGGATTCTCAACGTAACTTAGATCTAGATTCGTAACATTTAAAGGGATTCTCAACGCAACTTGCATCTAGATATGCAACATTTAAAGGGATTCTCAACGTAGCTAACATCTATATATGTAACATTTAAAGGGATTCTCAACGTAACTTGCGTCTAGATATTTAACATTTAAAGGGATTCTCAACGTAACTTGCTTCTAGATATGTATCATTTAAAGGGATTCTCAACGTAACTTGCATATAGATATGTAACATTTAAAGTAATTCTCAACGCAACTTACATCTAGATAGGTAGCATTTAAAGTGATTCTTAACGTAACTTACATCTAAATATGTAACATTTAAAGGGATTCTCAACATAACTTACATGTTACATTTAAAGGGATTCTCAACGTAACTAACATCTAGATAGGTTACATTTAATGGGATTCTCAACGTATCTCGCATCTAGATAGGTAACATATAAAGGGACTTGACGAAATTTATAGAAAATCTTGAACTAAACAGGCCACGATTCACATTTAACTATTCATTGAAACCTGATGGTGTAAATCTTTTTTAACAAAGTTTTGTTTTATTATGTTAAACACGTGATTTATAGTTTAAAATTTGGAAGGTTGATATTGAAAATGGTAGACTAATAGTCTAGTAATCAGTTATTTTGTTTCGTTCTTAAAGGGAGTGTTCACGAAAAATGAAAGGGGGTATAGGCTTAATGCGATAAAAAAAGGCTTTTGAACGCCACTAAATCTTACTTCTATTTGTTGCGTCTNGACTAGTAGTCTAGTAATCAGATATTTTGTTTTGTTCTTAATACGATAACAAAATATTCTCCTATTAAAATGGGAGACTAGTAGTCTAGTAATCAGATATTTTGTTTTGTTCTTATTACGATAACAAAATATTCTCCTATTCAAATGGGAGACTAGTAGTCTAGTAATCAGATATTTTGTTTTGTTCTTAATACGATCACAAAATATTCTCCTATTTAAATGGGAGACTAGTAGTCTAGTAATCAGATATTTTGTTTTGTTCTTAATACGATAACAAAATATTCTCCTATTTAAATCTTTAACAAAGGTAAAAAGGAATTGTCTTGATGTAAATCAATTTGTCCAGAGGCCGAATTTAAAGAATTTGAACCGCGGCTTAAAATTGAGAAACGGCTCAAACCTAAAATTGTATTCAATGTTTTAAGATCTAAGCCGGCGCTCAATTGAAACCGGTTTTGGGCGGATTTGAGACGCGACTCAAATTCATTAAATTCAGACTCAGGAAGTGTCGGTGTACTTAGTTAATAAAAATAATCACTAGCTGTGCGCATCGCATAAAAAAAGGTAATTTACTTTCTTAAGCTTTAAAACTCAACTTTAAAAGGTATCGTTGTCGTAATTATGTGTTACAGGGTGGCCAAAACTTTTTTGAACCCATCCGTACAAAAATCCGTACATTTTCAGAAGAAATCCGTACAATCCGTACAATTTTCGAAAAACAATCCGTACAATCCGTACAATTTTTTAAAAAAAAAATCCGTACAATCCGTACATTTTTTTAAACCAATCCTTACATTTTTTTAAAGATCCGTACATTTTTTTTAAAAATCTGTACAATCAGCACAATTTTCGAAAAAATCCCATTTTTGAAAAAAACAAACATTAAAATTCAATTTTTCATTCATTGTCTTTTGTGTTCAGTTCATGTAAGAGGGTTTAAACTTCTTCAGCAAGAATCAATCTGTAAAAAATTGGCTTCATACATATATACAAACTAAATACTGGGTACATGATACTAGGTGCATGATACTGGATACTGGATACATGATACAGGGTACATGATACAGGATACAGGATNTACTGGAACATCTTCTTGAATAAGCAATCAAATAAGTACTTATGGAACATATTCTCAAATAAACACTTCTTGGACATATCTCGAAAATTATGAATGAATTTTGATTGTCAATTGAAACATTAATCAATCTAATATTATTTAGAATGCGGAAAATAAGTTAAACTAACTTCATTTTGACGAGATTTTTTTTTTATTTTCATGAAAAATTTGCTGAAATGAGTGAAAATTTAAAAAAACGGTGTATTTTCCAGGATAAAATCCGTACAATCCGTACAATTTGAAAACAAATCCGTACAATCCGTACAATCCGTACAATCCGTACAATTTTAGGGTTAAAAAAAAATCAATCCGTACAATCCGTACATTTTGGCCACCCTGGTGTTATCTTACATTTTTGGAAAAGCATGTCTGATTTACAAAGGTACCCTTAAAGCTTTGTCCGATCAAGAAAGAAATTTGATTATTTTTCATTCGTGATTCCTCAATCACTGCCCACCGGCGGTTTAAGCTTTTGAAACTATGAAGGAATAGTTAGGAATAAACACTTATTCTTTAAGAAAAAACGATTAAAACGGAAATGCTTCTTTTAAAATAAAACAAGTCCATTTTATTATATTTCCCTTTTATAATTCAATTTACCAATTAGAATTTTCAAATATTTTGATTTGAATTAATTTTCTGAATATTGAAATGACAGAACATTGTGTTTGATTCAAATATTTAATATTTCCATTGAATCTTTCATCAGTTACAGATAAACATTTTTTAATTAACAGTGTTTTATCAATGTCTAAATAACAAATATAACATTTAATTTTAGATTGATTACAAAGAATTTATCAAGAAATTAGATTATTAAGTTGTTAATACTACTATTTGATATTAAGAAATTCTGTGAAGGGGAACGTATAGTTATATTCTTAAAAAAATCATTTGAATTCAGCCGCTCCAGCTCTTACGCAGAAGCCCTAAGGAGTTAAGCGCTCATGACGCGCTTAATTACAAGAAAGAAAGAGAGCCTCTTCTAGCTCGGCACAGAAAGTGTCCTAACCTTAGGTTTAGTGATTTTTACGGTTTTACAGGGGTTTCTTGAAGATAATTATTTTTTTTTATTATGAGGCAAATGAAAGGACATTATTACCGCTTTTTTACTTTTTTTCTTTTCTTTTCCATTCCCTCTTCTCCCTTTTCCTTCCCTCTTCTCCCTTCTCCCTTCTCTATTTCCCCTTCCCTCTTCTCCCTTCTCCCTTTCCCCTTTCCCCTTCCCTCTTCTCCCTTTCCCCTTCTCCCTTTTCCCTTCCCTTTATCCTTTTTTCCTTCCCTCTTCTCCCTTTTCCCTTCCCTCTTCTGCCTTTTCCTTTCCCTTTATCCTTTTTCTTCATCCCTACCCCCTAATATTTAACAGAACAATTTACGCCCCTGGACTGTTTTAAAATTATCAATTAGTTTGTTTGTTTGTTTACCTACAGCCTGGAAACCGGTTTGTGCAGTCGGAGGAACATAAACAATATTTCTCACAGAAGTTTGAAGCGGATATACAGGGACACGAGGAATCACAGGGCTGCAAAAAGTTTTAATATCAATAAAAATAAAAATAAAAATTATCTTAAAAAACGTTTGACATGAAAGTGATAAAAATCACCCTCTAAGTTCCTTTAAGCGTAATTTCAAGTTTCCCTATATAAAAAAGATGGCATTGCCTGAATTACAACAGTAGCCTTAATATTTTTAACTTCTAAGATGTTCCAAAATGTTTTTTTCCATTGTTTCTTATGCACGAAATGCGCAAGTCACTTTTGCAGAAAAGCCACAAATGAAAAGATACAGTAAATCTGGCAATGCCATTGTTGCATGAAGAGTCACTTGAAATTTTAGTCAATTTAACAAAACAAATATCAAGAAAAATAAAACTTTAAAATTAACAATATCAAGAATATCAACAATCGTCATTAACTACAACAATAATAATGACTTAAAATTCGGTGAGGGTGATGGACCAAACCTCTGCAGAGTAAAAAAAGTAAATGTTAGTTCCACATTTATTGAAAATATATTTCGGTCTGGGTTGACCCTTGTCAGTTCTTGAGATTGTTTCTGTCACAAAGATTAAGAACAAACAGTTACCAAACCAGTAAAAGTAATAATAGTAACAATACAAATGATTACAAAAATGATAACAATATCAACAATATCATCACCAAAAATAACAAAACAACCAATGATGATAAATGCAAACATAATTTCGTCTAAATAAGACAATTCGAATAATGTTTCAACATAATGAAAATAATATTAATGATAATAACAATAATAATAATACCAATGATAATAATACCAATGATAATAATACCCATGATAATAATAACAATAATAATAATACCAATGATAATAATACCAATGATAATAATACCAATGATAATAATACCAATGCTAATAATACCAATGATAATAATACCAATTATAATAATACCAATAATATTATTACCAATAATAATAATATTACCAATAATAATAATACCAATAATAATAATACCAATAATAATATTAGTAATAATAATAATAATAAAAATAATAAGAATAAGAACAATAATTAATAATAATACCAATAATATTAATACCAATAATATTAATACCAATAATAATAATACCAATAATAATAATACCAATAATATTAATACCAATAATAATATTAACAATGATACTAATACCAATAATAATAAATACCAATGATAATATTAGTAATAATAATAATAATAAAAATAATAAGAATAAGAACAATAATCAATAATAATACCAATTATATGTATACCAATAATAATACTATCAATGAAAATAATACCAATAATAATAATAATACCTGTCCCGGATGATCACAAGGGAAATAGTTATGTACAGGATTGGGCCCATTATCCTTCTTCAATTGTATCTTTTTACAATGGTTGGACCTTAATAAATATTAATTAAGGATGCATTATTTAAAAAATCATTTTAAGAGGGTTGATCAAGTTATACTTTTCAATCGATAATTAAAAACAATCAGAAGAGAAAAGTTTAAAATCTTGCCATGACCTATACATATTTACATTTTGCTCGTCTTCAGAAAGTTTATTTCTCCAAATTTTTAAATATTCTTCATAAACAGAAAAATCTGCGAAATCCTACAAATTATTTCTTGTTATGTATAAAGAAACAATGACTGCTAAAATAAAATTATTTCAAGGAAGAGGGGGGGGGGGGGGAAGCACATCAAAAGCTAGTTTTCGACATATTGAACACAACAATATAATTGTGTCACTCACCACATCTTATGCTGCTGTTTCTTCTTCTTCTTTTTCGGCGGAGTGTATTCCTTAGTAGACTCAGTAGTCAACGAATCCTTCTCTATCTGTGCTTTCTCATAAACCTGAATTCACAAAATAGATTAACCCACCATCACAGGGGAAATTAAAAAATGCAACTTCTTATCTAACAATATAATCGCTTGGTGCTATTAAAAGGGTAAATAGCTTATTTAAAAAAATAAATTAAAATCCAGTTTTTTTTTACTTATGCTATTGATTTAATTGCTTACTATAAATGTTAAATAATGGTTATTAGTTTTTGATTATTGAGTCATAATTATTGATTAATGATTATCAGTTATTACATATTGGCCAATGGCTATTTGAATTGGTAATTGAATGATTGATTGATAAATTAGTGTATTACCTGCTTGCAAAGTTTTGTTACAATCATCTGCGCAATAGCACAATAGTTTCCAGGGAACACTTTGTAAAGAACACGGAGAAGGTTTTCTTCTGCACCGTTCCATTCATCCTTATCTGTTCCTGAACATACAAAAAGTTTAAGTTCCATAAACCTTTGTCTATTCCTGATACAAGAATCAGATATACGTTCCATTCATCCTTATCCGTTCCTGATCATACATAAAGTTAAAGTTCCATACACCTTTGTCTATTCCTGATACAAGAATCAGATATACGTTCCATTCATCCTTATCCGTTCCTGAACATACATAAAGTTTAAGTTCCATACACCTTTGTCTATTCCTGATACAAGAATCAGATATACGTTCCATTCATCCTTATCCGTTCCTGAACATACATAAAATTTAAGTTCCATACACTTTTGTCTATTCCTGATACAAGAATCAGATATACGTTCCATTCATCCTTATCTGTTCCTAAACATTGATAACGTTAGAGATCTATTCAGCTCTGTCTGACGTTTGTTCCTGATCAAATCAAATATAATCATACTATAAATTTAATTATTTAAATATCCTTTACTATGGAAATTAGCCAAATATTAAGATTAAACCATTTTTTAGTTGTGTAAAAATACTTAAATCTAGAACGGAGGTAATTTTGAATGTTAGTACAATCAAAGGCGCAACTAGGACTTTTGCTAAGGGGGTGGGGGGCAATATATTATTATGTTCCCCCCCTAGTTGCGCCTCTGAGTACAATCATTGATTAGTCCAATTAATATGACACCAAGAAGACGAGAAACAAACCTGTAATATCACGCATTGGATTTATGTCATAAACCAGCGCGGCATCTACGCTGGCCACCTGTCCAAGGCCGCGTATATCCTTTCTCCAGTTTTTGTGATCAGCTGTACCCCTGCCCCGTACACCGTTCTGTCCAGTACTAGAGGAACCACCACCAGCACACCCAGTCTTCTTACCATCCTAAACATTTTCACCGGATAAAAAAATGGCATTCTCTTTAAATAGGAGTTTTGCTATAAATGGGAGGTGGGACAGAATGAATTTGTATCGATCAGTGATATCCAAGTTGTATCCAATATTTCTTTGCAAATAAACTATGTGACAATATGCATCGAATTTGATTTGGATTGAAACTATACCAATTTCTTATATTTCGACATATATTATATGTAGTATTTATTCTATCTATGTTTGTAAGTCCAAACTTACTCATGAACCTCGTGGCCGATTTGCCTCAAATTTTGACGAAAAAACTAGACAGAACCCCGGGAATATTATTAGCGAAGCTAAACAATTTGAAGTTCAGTGGGTTGCCTTTAAAGAGGAGAGTTTATATTTCCAGACTATGCTAGATTCCCAAGCTAGTGATTTCTAAAATTTAACTTCTTGAATTATGAATTATTAAGAATTAAAATAGACCTTAAGTCCCTCTAGGCCAGTCAATGAGTTTCTCCTTGAACCTGAAGCCGAGGAGTTTCCACTTTGACTTTCACTCTTCTTCTCACCCGGCATACTTGATCTTGTCATGCTATCCCTAGATTAAACATACTTGATCTTGTCATACTATCCCTAGATTAAACATACTTGATCTTGTCATATACTATCCCTAGATTAAATATACTTGATCTTGTCATGCTATCCCTAGATTTAACATACTTCATCTTATCATATGCTAAACATAGATTAAATATACTTGATCTTGTCATACTATCCCTAGATTAAATATACTTGATCTTGTCATGCTATCCCTAGATTAAATATACTTAACCTTGTCATGCTATCCCTAGATTAAACATACTTGATCTTATCATATACTATCCCTAGATTAAATATACTTAATCTTGTCATGCTATCCCTAGATTAAACATACTTGATCTTGTCATACCATCCCTAGATTAAACATACTTGATCTTGTCATATACTATTCCCAGATTAAATATACTTGATCTTGTCATGCTATCCCTGGATTAAACATACTTGATCTTGTCATATACTATCCCTAGATTAAATATACTTGATCTTGTCAAGCAATATCTAGATTAAATATACTTGATCTTTTCATGCTATCCCTAGATTAAATATACTTGATCTTGTCATGCTATCCCTAGATTAAATATACTTGATCTTGTCATATGCTATCCCTAGATTAAATATACTTGATCTTGTCATATACTATCCCTAGATTAAATATACTTGATCTTGTCATGCTATCCATAGATTAAACATACTTCATCTTGTCATATACTATCCCTAAATTAAATATACTTGATCTTGTCATGCTATCCCTAGATTAAATATACTTGATCTTGTCATGCTATCCATTGATTAAATATACTTGATCTTGTCATGCTATCCCTAGATTAAATATTCTCAATTGATTTTAGATCTACTTTCGTAGTCAGCCCTAGAAATAATTTTCATCATCGGCTTGTAGACGGGTGAATACTATACATATACATCCTAGCTCTTATTTTAATTAAGAAACTAGCAAGTTTAGTCGCTTAGTTGATTAGTCGCTTACCTAGTTGTACTATTATTGTATTCCTTGCTTACCTAATTGTACTTTTGTTGGTTTACTAGCTTACCTAGTTGTACTTTCATTGGATTACTAGCTTACCTAGTTGTACTTTCATTGGATTTCTTGCTTACCTAGTTGTACTTTCATTGGATTACCAGCTTATCAAGTTGTACTATTATTGAATTCCTTGCTTACCTAGTTGTACTATCATTGGATTCCTGGCTTACTTAGTTGTACTTTCATTGAATACCTTGCTTACCTAGTTGTACTTTCATTGGATTACCAGCTTACCTAGTTGTACTATCATTGTATTCCTTGCTTACCTAATTGTACTTTTATTTGTTTCCTAGCTTACCTAGTTGTACTTTCATTGGATTACTAGCTTACCTAGTTGCACTTTCATTGGATTCCTAGCTTACCTAGTTGTACTTTCATGGAATCCTTGCTTACAAAGTTGTACTTTTATTGGATTCCTAGCTTACCTAGTTGTACTTTCATGGAATCCTTGCTTACAAAGTTGTACCATCATTGGATTCCTAACTTACTTAATTGTACTATCATTGGATTACTAGCTCACCTAGTTGTACTATCATTGGATTCCTCACTACTTGCTTCATTTCCAGAATCCAGAGAAATATTTTTTTTTACTTTCTCAGCTTTTTCAGATGTGTCCTGAAAACAGAGAGTGGTAACCAGGAAATAGTTGAATGCTTGCAGGCATCTATAAATTGATTCTAAAGCTGTGGCATTTTCATCATTAGAAAATAGTATGTTAAAACCGTTTACAATTGAAAAATCCTTTCATAACAAGTAAGAACGAAGACGACAATCAGTCCACAGTTTTTTCGTTCTTAACATAATCTCTGATTAGATTATTGCTTTGTTTATGTTTCCGTGTGACGTATTAGAGCAGTCCAAGAACAAGTTTTATTGTAAACAATATCACATTTGTAAACAAGGCCCGTCAGTCATGGATAAAATAACGCCACAACTCTATTACGTCATTATTCATAGTAAACAAACCCGTCCCTAATACCCTCTTCATTATTCAAATTCTCAAATCAGACAAATCAAATCTCATATTAGATTTCTATGGTTGTCCTACTTAAAGGGATAGACCGGCAATGTATTGAAGTTGAACTGAGAATGTAGGATTGTGGAGAATTGTTTTAGGAATCATGTGAGAACTATGAGACGTTTTGACGGTGCATGTTTATTCAGAAAAAGCACAAATTCAATATTTAAAATCCTCATAGATTGTTCATTTTTAAGGAATGATTTTGAGAATCGGGGTTTAAAAAAAGGGGGGGCATAACACGTATTACTCTCCGGGAAATTTAAACAGTGTATAAACATAACTTAGCATTGTCCTAGGAGGCTGATTTTTCGCATGCGAGCTTAGAATTATGTGTATTACCTATAAATCGACATACAACATGTAAAATCTGTGCTAAGATGACCCACAATGTACCTGCCGGCTACTAGCGCGCCGGTCAGAAGGCTCCAATATCTATTTTGACCTCGGAAATGAATTCCTTGTCCCAATTTTGCTATAGTTTGATGTATCATATGCTACTTTTATTCTGACTTAGGCCAAACTTAGCAAATAAGTATTCAAAGATATTTTCTTTTATTGCGCGCGCGCGGACATTTAAGGCTTTGAAGGTGAATTTTTTGAGCGCATATTTTTTTCAAGAGTATCAGGATAAATGTTCAAGTGCATTTAATGAAGTTAAGATTGATTTACTGTCAAAAAATGTTTATTTTTTCACAAAAAGCGCGCGTGCGCGCGGACTTTTGCTCAGATCCGTTCAAAACCAAAAAATGCATGTAATATACATAATTTTAAGCTCGCATGCAAAAAATCAGGCTCCTAGGACAATGCTAAGTTATGTTTATACATTTTTTCACAAAAAACGCGCGCGCGCACGCACTTTTGCTCAGATTCCTTCAAAACCAAAAAATGCACGTAATATACATAATTCTGAGTTTGCATGCAAAAAATCAGCATCCCACGACAATTCTAAGTTACGTTTAAACACTGATTAAATTTTCCGGAGAGTAATACGTTTTGTGGCCCCCCCCCTTTCAATTGAGAAAAATGTTCCTAAACATCAAATTAGTTTACTGTAGAATACTTTTATATTTTTTGTCGTCGTTTTTTAATAATTAAAAAGAATCAATTCTCAAAATGTAACCCCCCAAATAGATGGTTTGAACGTCGACTTTGCGCTCAAGCTCAGTAATTATACATCATTAAAACGTTTTAAATATCTCTAATAAATCCAGAATAAAATTCTCTATAGTACTATATTCTCATTTCAACTACCATACACTCCCTTTAATGGTTTATTCAATGCATATTTTTTCCCAGAACGGGGTTTAAGAAATTCCGATATATTTTTTAATAATTGATAAATGTGACTTTAAATTATTATAAAAATGGCATCCTGAAGTACACTTAGCTTCCCAACTCGGCTAATAATTAATTGTGATCATTTAATAACATTTCTCAGAAGTTCCCTTTTCATCCATTTTCCAACGTTGAGAGTTTTAAAATTAAGTTTCTACAGAAATCGTTTGAGCTTTAAATTCAAATTAACATAATTAAAAAAACATCCCCTGAATCCTAGTATAATATAACTTTGTATCCCCTATATCCTAGTATAATATACCTTTGTATCCCCTGTACCCTAGTATAATAAACCTTTGTATCCCCTGTATCCTAGTATAATATACCTTTGTATCCCCTGTATCCTAGTAAAATATATACCTTTGTATCCCCTGTATCCTAGTATAATATACCGTTGTATCCCTGTATCCTAGTATAATATACCGTTGTATCCCCTGTATCCTAGTATAATACACCTTTGTATCCCCTGTATTCTAGTATAATATACCTTTGTATCCCCTGTATCCTAGTATAATATACCTTTGTATCCCCTGTATCCTAGTAAAATATACCTTTGTATCCCCTGTATCCTAGTATAATATACCTTTGTATTCCCTGTATCCTAGTATAATATACCTTTGTATCCCCTGTATCCTAGTATAATATACCTTTGTATCCCCTGAATCCTAGTATAATATACCTTAGTATCCCCTGTATCCTAGTATAATATACCTTTGTATCCCCTGTATCCTAGTATAATATACCTTTGTATCCCCTGTATCCTGTCTAGTATTGTAGGATACCCCCTCCAGAAGAAGGTAGCAGTCAGGGCAGCATGGTTCTGTATTCAACCTCAGCTCAGGACCCCTACAACATGCATTTTAAAGAAAAAACAATAAAAAAACACAGTGAACCATCATTCCATAGAAACTTCAAAATATACGATTATCAATGTACTAGTGTCACAAGGCTAGTGTTACTGTAAAGGGCAAATTCAACCGAAATAAAAGCTTTACTTCTCTGAAACCCACAAAAAATTAGTCTTTATAAATAGGGTGACAAGTGACAACCCGAAATAATGGGAGAAAAAAACTTTTTAAAAACTTAATTTTAGTTTTCCTTAATCTAATCCCACTGCTTCAGTTTATACAATATACAATACATAAATGTAGATTGTAAGTTAATACAAAATACATTTCGAAAAATGCATCTCCTCAAAATCCCTTCTAGAATTATTTTCAGGATAAGTGTTCCAATATTATTAAAAAAACGAAGGAAGAAATTGAAAATATACGTTATCCTTTTTATTGCAGAAAGAAGAGATTTGACACCATTTTCTTTTTCAATCACATTATCAAAGAGAAACGTCATTTCCAAAAAAAGGACAATTTTCTATTGAAACATTTTACTTTATTTTCTTTATTTGGAATCAGTAATTGTTAAGCTTACCTTCTCTTACTGGTTGGTCGCAGTTGAGGAGGTTTGTGAAGAAAACAGTCATATTTGAAACATCTAGCTCAACAATTCATCAATTTATTCGTTCATCATTTATTCATCCTTTCATTCATTCGTTTATTCAATCAATATTCATCCAAAATTCATTCACTATTTATTCAATATTCATTCAATATTCACTCAGTATTCATTCAATATTCATTCAATATTCATCCAATATTCATCCCATATTCATTCAATATTTATTCAATATTAATCATCTATAAATTAATCAATAAATTTTTCAATTAGAAATATCTATTAATTTATTTATCTTATATTTTACTAAAAAAAAATAACAGTTAACATAAAGATGCCAACACTACGCTTTTGTCCCATTCATGCATAGTAATAGAGATTACAACAAACACAACATTCAAAAGTGTGACTAAGTTTGATGACATTGTTCCTGCGACAGAAGAGAGTATTGAATGAATGCATGGTCTGCTCAAAACTTGTTGATACACTATCAGGCCCATCAATATTTGGGGTACACTCCTAGATTATGGTTCTCTGTCTCTGTCTATGTCTATGTCTATGTCTATGTCTATGTCTATGTCTATGTCTATGTCTATGTCTATGCCTATGTCTATGTCTATGTCTATGCCTATGCCTATGTCTATGTCTAGGTCTAGGTCTAGGTCTATGTCTAGGTCTAGGTCTAGGTCTAGGTCTAGGTCTAGGTCTAGGTCTAGGTCTAGGTCTAGGTCTAGGTCTAGGTCTAGGTCTAGGTCTAGTTCTAGTTCTATATGTGTATGATGTACTAAATCTGTATATGTTATGTGTGTATATATTGAATAAAAATGCAAACCTAATCTAATTTAATTTACTATAAAAAGCAGGTGAAAGAAAATAGATTATCCTATGTTTGCTTGAAGCTTATATATTCCCTTGAGAGAGGAAGACAAATTTACAGATTCAAGAATATACATTTATCATAAAAGGGACTACTGTTGTATTTCTAAGAGACCCTTATAACAAACAGGGGCAAGCCCGATCCAAATCAGCTAGTGCCCCTTTAAACTTTATTTGTTTGAGTTTCAATTTCCTTCATGGTTTTACCGTTCTTACTAGGCCAGCTAACATTAAATTTTAATTGTATCTGTTGACATAATTTCAAGTGAACCTCCATTTTATTTAGTGACATTACCGAATCCCAACGGTACAATTAAAAGCTTTTTATAATCAGGAACGAATGAGACATCCTTGCATTGCTTTGAATTTTAAAAAACTCACTTGAGCATGTCTGCTGCAGAAACTATGGAGGAAATTATTAAGATCATAGACATAATTGATACGAGAAAGGTTTAAAATGTATGGTTTGACACGTACATCCAACTCTACAAATGGAAGGAAACATTACGTCTACAGTCTTGATTAGATTATTTTACCTTTAGTATAGAATCCTTGTTCTCCGTCAGCTCGATAAACTTCTCACAGAGCTTGTTAGGGTTCCCCATCTCAGGGAATACAGAGGATATCGCCATAAACACCGTGTCTTATCAAAATTATTCATTTTTACGAGAATTAGAAAAGTTTAAAATACAAATTAAATGTCTGTGTGCACATTTATCAACTAGGACAGCACAGCTCCTGTGTACTATGTGCTGTATTGTACATGTTCATAAGAACTATAAAGTACATTTATACACAAACTGTACAGTACCTCTGTATATGAACTGCAAAATACCTCTGTACATGAACTGCAAAGTACCTCTGTACATTAACTGTAAAGTACCTGTGAGTTTCCACTTTTAACTGTGAAATGTAAAGTACATGTGTACTAAGAACTGTATTTTTACTTTGTTCATGCGGACTATGAACTGTAAAGTACGTATGTACTATGAACTGTACACTAAATGTGACATGTAGAGTTCATACGCAATTTTAAACTGAAGTTCCTTTTCACTTTGAACTGTAAAAACATTTGTTCGTCCTAATGTACTAATATATGAGTAAACGTACATACTACATATGATGCAACAGAAGTGGACTTTCAAGTCAAATCCTATTTTTCTTGCATATTCAATTTGTACATAACATGAATGTATTAATTTGAGCAAGTTAGTGAAAGGGGAGGGAGAATGGAGGGGTGGGTTGCCCCTTAATTTTCACCTGAAGGTATGTAGGAGTTATCATTCTTTCTTTGTTCAATTATTTCATCATTTTCGTCTTTTATTTTTTCCTCTTTGTCGGCAACTTCCTCCTCCATATCCTGGAAGTTTTTAAATCTGACTTTCAAGTGACGTCACATTTAAGGAGTTGCATGCCTGATTCACAACGGGACCTTTAACACCATTCGCGGAGTCAATCGTCATTTATCTAACTAACTCAGACGCATTAATTCGCATGTCTATTTTACATAGAAACCATGATTGATTTTATCCAGAGAAAACAGGGATATCTTAAACATTTCTCCGACGAAGGTGTAAAACGTATCAGTGTGAATCGTGAATGCTTCACTTGAAATTAAGGGTGACTTAAAATTAAGGGTGACTTGAAATTAAGGGTGACTTGAAATTAAGGATGACTTGAAATTAAGGGTCACTCGAAATTAAGGGTGACTTGAAATTAAGGGTGACTTGAAATTAATTGTGACTTGAAATTAAGGGCGACTTGAAATTAAGGGTGACTTGAAATTAAGGGTCACTCGAAATTAAGGGTCACTTGAAATTAAGGGTGACTTGAAATTAATTGTGACTTGAAATTAAGGATGACTTGAAATTAAGGGTGACTTGAAATTAACGGGCACTTAAAATTAAGGGTGACTTGAAATTAAGGGTCACTTGAAATTACTCCAAAAAATTCTTTAATTTTATGATAAAAAAATTATTTTGAGTTTTAAACGGAAAGATTATCTTTATAAACTGTTTCTTTACGAATTCTCTCTTTTTCGAGAAATAAAAAAAAATAATATTGTTCTTCAAGAATATAATATTCGATAATAATCAAGTTCATGATGATTTGGCGTTCTTGCGTTTTTACCCTTGAGTCTGTGTTGTCATGATGCTTGAGAGCATTAACCAAGGAAACAAAAAGGTCGTCTTCGATTACACCTCCTTCCCTAAACAGGATACGAGGATAAAATTGATTACACCTCCTTCTCTAAACAGGATACGAGGATAAAATTGGTCTTCTTTGATTACCCCTCCTTAAATTAATCTCTAAACAAGGATACAAGGATACAAAAAGGTCGTCTTCGATTATCAATACTTCTCTGAACTTTGGCACCTTGTAGGCATAAAAAAAATGATATATATTGTACTATTTCTGAGCCTTATTTGATTTTTTTTGTTTTATAATATTTCGCTGGCGCTGGATTTTCGAACACTCCTGGAAAATATTAAAATGACATATTCATTATCAAAAGTCCTCGAAACAGGAATAAAGTTTTCAAAAGTAACTCTCAGATCATAAAAAATAAAGAAATATTATGAAGTATCAACTATAAAGGAATGCGTCGAAAAATTATCGATGATTATTAGTTGTGATATCTGAATGATTTGTTTGGAATTAAATTTATCATTTTACGATCAGAGTTGAATTTTGAAACTTTCCGAATTTGTATGGACGCCACGTTTTTCGGTATGAGTCTTTTTTAACAATTTTCTCCTTATAGATGCAACAGATAGAAGTAAGATTAGTAGCGATCAAACGCGTTTATTTTTCTCCGTAAGCCTATACGCACTTCCATTTTTCACGAACACTCCCTTTAAGATTTATTTAAAAGATGTGACCTCACTCCCAACATCTTAACTAAAGCCCCGTAATGCTTTGATTAGAAGATCATTAGAGAATAACAGTTCAGAAAAGAATATTTTTAACATAAATCTGTGTGAAACTTTAGTATGAAATAAATAATATGTTTTCACTTGCTCTGCCTCATATAAAATCGTCTCTCAGGCATTTTCCAAAATGTAAATTTTATCACTTTGAAAGCTTCCCGTGCGTTAAATTTTTCACATTTTTTATCAATAAGAGGAATTTACATAGATTTAACAATAATTTTTCAATAACTCAAAAAAAGGCCTTTTCCATATTATCTTGTCTTTTCCCAAGTATTTTACAAAAAAAGTCATAACTTTTTAGGCTCTCCGTACATTTTTTATAATTTTCAGAATCGAATTTTTTATATTTTTTTTGAAAAATATTGTTTTATACTTTAAGCTGCAACTTTTTTTTTACTTAGAGTTTACTCAGGACAGCTGTCAGGTTCATCTTTAAAGAACATCAATTTAATCTGTACAGCTGTCAGGTGTCATTGAACCAAATCCTTTCTGGGATAATCTTGTATCTTACATCATTGTGTTGTCATAGTAAGCCTTTGACAAGACTGCTACAACATATTTTGAGATGTAATTGAGTCTCAGAAACTTGAAAATATTTAAAAATATTTTATATAAAAATTTGCAGGATGCTTTTCCAACACTTATACTAGATATATTGAGATGAAATAGGTAAATTAGGTTCAACTTGAATATCAGGAAATTTTTAAATATTTCCTCTCATATTCGTTATTAACAATTATGCAAATTTTCATCACTACTATACTATGAGATATGAGATAGAATTGGAAACTTAGATTGAATCTCAGCTTATTTAAAATATTTCCCCTCATAAGGTATACGTGAATAGATATGACCCCCCCCCCACATATAAAAAAAACACTACTACGAGATATATTACGATGAAATTGTTAAATTAGGATACATCTGAGCAATATATTACGATGAAATTGTTAAATTAGGATACATCTGAGCAATATATTACGATGAAATTGTTAAATTAGGATACATCTGAGCAATATATTACGATGAAATTGTTAAATTAGGATACATCTGAGCAATATATTACGATGAAATTGTTAAATTAGGATACATCTGAGCAATATATTACGATGAAATTGTTAAATTAGGATACATCTGAGCAATATATTACGATGAAATTGTTAAATTAGGATACATCTGAGCAATATATTACGATGAAATTGTTAAATTAGGATACATCTGAGCAATATATTACGATGAAATTGTTAAATTAGGATACATCTGAGCAATATATTACGATGAAATTGTTAAATTAGGATACATCTGAGCAATATATTACGATG